TCCTACATACTTTTTAATGCATTTTTAATTTTTTTCTCTCTACACTTCCATGTGAGTATTTTCTATCTAATCATATTTAGTTCTCTGATCTTCTGCTCTACTGTGTCCAATGCACAAGTAGACTCATCTATTGAGTTCTTGATTTCAGATATACTGTATTTGACAGTTCTAGAATTTCCTTTTTTTTTTTAAGATTTTCTTCCTCTGGTGAAATTTCCCATCTTTTTCATTTATTTTGTCCATAGTTTCTCTATTTTCTTTAATATACTTACTATAATTATTTTAAAGTTTTTGACTGCTAATCTCTGCAAAGTTCTCCTCTCTGGAATCTTATCTTCTCTGGTCTTTATTGCTTCAGAGGGAATCTGATGCCTTTAAATAAATTGTTTTTGTATTTTATATGAATTTTCTTGATGTTATCAGAAGAAATGTTAGTCTTCCACAGGCTACTTCATCCTACCATAAGCAGAAGTCCTAAAGTATATTTTAAAATGTTTTTGGTCCATTGTTTTGATATTTCTCATTGAGGATTCCAAGGATGTGTCTATTGTCTAATGGATATTCTGTCCCAATCTTCTATAACTATGACTTTCCCCTAATCATTTTTATCTCTGTTTTTATTTATATTTAGTTTTTCACTTTTCTTAGTGTATCTTTTATGTCTCTTGCTGTGCCATATCTTGTCTTTTTTATCCCTTGTGTTTCTGGTAATTCTTTTTTGGTTAATTTACCAAGTTGTTTTATTTCTTCTGTTTATTTCTAATCTCTACCAATTACCTTCTCAGGTCGTCTAATCATCTCTACCATGAATTCTAAATCTACTTTTAGCTATTTCTTCAGAGTTGCAATTTTCTTGTTAAATTTATTTTTAAATTAATAGTGAAGGGTTGGGGTACAATATCCTCTGTATTGTGTTGCGCTCTTACTGATGACTTTTCTGCATCTTCAGTAAAATGTCTTTTCTCTTTTGTTTATATCTCTTCTTAGAGAATATCTTTAGATATCGAAGACTTCTTATTACTCATGTTAGAATGATTTGGATTTTTTTATTCCAGCTAATAGCAGATGAATGTCTCCTGGAGGGGCTATTAGAGGGGTAAGATTATTGTCCCAGTTTCTAAGCTCATACAGAGAACTTTACTATAAATCCCTTTGTGTAGCCTGGGAGGGCTCCTACTATAGGTCATGTTCTTGTTTATTTTACTACTGTCACCAAGAGTGACGCCCTCCTGCCCTCCTCCCCACCCCACCACCCATCTGTGCCTTATTTCTCTCTCAGTCTTGCTCTTGGCAGTTTCCACTCGGGACAGGCCCCTTCACTTCTGGGAATGAATTTTGTTGGAGATTTTTTCCACCTGTGATATCATTGTGGATTCCATTGCCAGTTTTGATGGTATATAATTTATATCAAATTGGAGTTTGGGATTTTCCTTGTCTTCTAACTTTGCTAAAGATGTAGTTTGTTGGTTTTTTTCTTTTCTTTGTTGATATATGTGGTTTTCAGGTGAAGTGGAACCTTTTAGGATTAAGATGACCCATATTCCTATCAGAACTGTAACTTTCATTGTAATTTCAAAACAACAACAAATAGTAACCATAACAACACAAAATATAGGCAAAATAGTGTCACTAACACACTAAATATTAGGTGTCTGGGTAAATTCACTTTTGCTATTTTTACTTCTCTGTATTTCATGTCTTCTAATTTTTAGCAATAGAAGAAAAGTCAAACTTATGAAATTAAGAATAAAACATTATTTAAATTTAAAAAGTGAGCATAATCATTGAATGTCAATTTGCCCAGATTTTGAATGCTTTGTTCTCTGGGAGATGTGGTGACTCAAAGTTAATGATCCAGGCATCTGGGGAAGGACGGTGGCCTCGCGAGAGCAGAGTCGATGTGAACCTGGCAACACAAGCAGCATATGACAAGATTGGAAACTGGGCAGGGCTAATGTATCACATTCCTTGAGCCTCCTGGGGTGAATGGCTCTCCCCAGTGACAACTCCCACTGAACCAAGAAGCTTGATAAAGGAAGCCATTTCCCAGTCTATGTTCATGGATCTTCTGAAGTGCCTCCTCAAAGGCCATGTTCACATTCATGAATCCGTTGATGTCTTTGTTTTCACACTGTCACATTTAAAGTATTATAAAAACTGTCCAGCATCTTCCAGTTTTGTGTGCCTTTAATTTTGCAACCTCACAAATGAGGCATATTTGTCACCCCTAGGAGTAATTAACCAACCAAATTAACAAACCAAAGGCAGGTACCGATGATCTACATTCTTCAATTTTCATGTTTGTATCATCGTCAGTGGGATGATTTAAAACTTGCAATAATTGTGTTTATGAATTCCTGAGAAAATTGGATCTGCTCAACCAATTATAAATGCATAGTGGTAACTCTTAACCTGGTTGTTCTTTTTTTTTTTATATCTTACTGGGCATCGGCATTATGAAGTGGAATTTCATGGCCTGGGAATGGATGGTTAATTTTCCTTTTATACTTGGACAGGTCGTGGTACAATACTCCATGAGTGCACCTCAACTTGCCACTTAGAGTGTTGCCAAGAGCAAAACCCTTCAGATAAGGTAAGAATGTCCTCTCAGAAATCAGAATTGATAGCCAAAAGTTAGATTTGGAAATGTCTGCTGTGACATCGAAAAGGTACTGTTGAACAATTCTATATTATCTCAAGTGTATTATATTATGATCTTTCATTAATTTTCAGTTAAATCAACAATACGCAGTTGTTTCTTTTGTGCCTCATATAGCTGAATCACAGTTTATAAATTAACATATAGAGATAATGATCTCTGATGAGATTACTGTTTTACACTTTCTCCTTTCTTTGTAAAATGATCCATATCTAATAAAATGAAAAAATATGTTGGAGAAAGCTTGTCTTTTTACTGTCCCTCAGGTGAAAAAGGCCCAGACTGACTTTTCTTGGACTATACTGTTTTGTCACAACTGGACTTGAATATCCTTGCCAGGAGAAATGACGCCTGCATTTGAGTCCGAGTTTCTGGTTTTAACCTGCAGGAGATACACACAGTTCTTCCAGAGTGGTCCAAAGCCAACCTGATCTTAGTGAGTCTGTGTCTCCCTGTCTGTTCTTTGCACCTGAACCCCATGTTCTCTTGATTCTACTGAGACACTGCCACAGGCCTCCTAACATGTGGCTTTTTAAGTCCAGGTATAACTCTTGCTGATCCTTCTCTGGACACTGAGAAGGTCACACAAAAGCTTCCTGGGGCCAATCAAGCCCAAAATATGTGCACAGAATCAATTTCACTACTTTTGAGATGTGTCTACATAAGAGGGGAAATACTCTAATTGTTCTCCAGTCAGGGAGATTAGCTGTGGGCTAAAGAGATTTAACATAGGAGGGAGGAAAAGTCTAACACAGTGAATAGGAATGCTGCCCCATATAGAGGCTGCCAGATGCTACAGACAGGGAATTGGTAGCAAGATCCACAGGAGAACCTCTGCTCAGTTACCAAAGCAGTCCCTTGAGAGAGTGTTGGACAGTTTGGACATATCCGAAAGGGCAAAACCAGCAAGGTCAGCATAGGATGCTACAGGCATCATTCTTTCAAGGTGGGCAGGTCAGTCAGTAAAGATTTATCCACCATCCTTGACAGAACAGCCAATGGGTGTGGTGCTGAAAGTAGTGCTGGGCGCAGTTGCCCATCATGCTAAACCTACTCAGGGAACGTGATGAACATGGTCAAGCTACTTAAGTTTGTGGTGTAGCTAGTAAGACAAATAACTGGAGAGATAAGTACAAAAGTGTAAAGGGAAGGAACGGGCCCTGTGAAGCATAGGTGGGGTAAGCCAGCCCTGGACTTGGTGCAGGCTGTGGTCCAGGGCTTCTCAGAGAAATGAGGTTAAAGTGGCAATGTTAAGGATGGCGCCATCGTTTCATGGGGTAGAGCAGGAAAGGTTCGTGATATGAGGAAAGAGGCTCATGCAATTTACAGGATTTTAATTCTAGGAGTAATAGAAAAGAAAAGGGGACAAATGCAAAAAGACCCAAGTGGTTTGCAACAGGCTGACTCCAGGCCATGGTTAGATGCCAGCCTCATTGTGGGGTGGGGAGTAGCTCTTTATGAAATTAATGTAGAGTCATGGTGGACCCAGGGCTAACTGATTTCATATCCTTGACTATAGTCTCTCCAGACGAAATTTAGAAAAGTGTGTCAGGAAAACGAATGTAGGTTCCCAGAGAATGGTGAGTGTGCTTGGCTCTTTGGTCATGACTGAACAATGCAGAGTTAACAGAGCAGAGAGCCCAACTGAAAGGATCCAGGCCATGCTTGAGCAGAGAGACACATGAGGATGAGATCCACTGGGAAACAGACTCCTGAGCACGAAAAGGAACAGTGGTGGGACTAGGCCAGGTCCCTGGTCAGAAAGTGCATTACTGAGGCTTTCAGGATTGAACACTCCTGCCCATTTCTGATGGAATACTGTGCATCTGTTAAAGAGGATGACTGATTCCATCACTGACGTGGAGAGACCTGCACCAAATATCACTGGGAGAAAAACAACCAGCATCCAAAGAAGTATAGGACGTAATTCCAGAAAGGATGTTCATGCCCTTGGAGGTTAGTGGGTATTTTACTTCCACATTATAGAAGTCTACGTTTCTTGAATTATTATATAGTTATAAGAAATAGGCAGGAAAAACTTAAAGCTATTTTTATTTGGGAGAAAAATAATGAAGAAGAGAGCATTAGTTAAGACAAAGTTCCAGAAATGTCTGTGGTTGCTGATGGCAGGTCTAGGCACCGGTTATTGGGTCTAGAGTGAGAATTATTTGAAGCAGAGAGATTATAAAGACCTAGAGAAAATGAAAAATGAAATGACGGTGATGGGATTCTTTGCATTTATACTAACCAATACTAATAAACATTTACTTTCTAGTCAAACTGTAGAGTAAGAGAGAAATTTTGATCTATGTAAATTGATTGAAAGACGACTTAAACGGCCATGAGGAACCAGTCGCTGGTGACGGAATTCGTCCTGCAGGGCTTCTCAGAAGCACCACAGCTCCAGATTCTCTTCTTCATCCTCTTTCTCTCCCTCTACACTGTGGTGCTCTGTGGCAATTCCCTTATCATGGCAGCCATCACCTTCAGCTCTGAGCTTCACACCCCCATGTACTTCTTCCTGGTCAACTTGGCTGTAATGGATGTTATCTGTGCATGCACTGTGGTACCCAAGCTGCTTGACATCCTGGTGGCAGAGAAGAGAAGTATCTCTTATGTGGGCTGCATGGCCCAGATATACTTCCTGACATGGGCTCTAGGAGCAGAATTGCTGCTTTTCACAGCCATGGCCTATGACCGCTACGTGGCCATCTGCCAGCCACTGCACTATGGCTCCATGATGAGTCCCAAGGTGTGTGTGACTTTGGCTGGAGCAGTGTGGGGCATCAGTGTGCTTAGTGCTGGAGTCAATGCCTGCCTGATGTTACGACTGACCTTCTGTGGACCCAACCTGGTCAATCACTTCTTGTGTGAGATCCCCTCTCTGCTATTGCTCTCCTGTTCCTCCACATATGTGAATAATATGGCAATTATGGCTGACATATTCTTTGCAGTGTTGAATTTTCTGCTCACCATTGTGTCCTATGGCTTCATCATCTCCACCATTCAGAAGATTCAAACAGCTGAGGGGAAATGGCGAGCCTTCTCCACCTGCTCCTCTCACCTCATTGCTGTCACCTTGTACTACTCCACCATCATCTACACCTACATGAGCCCTGGCTCCAGCTGCTCCCCAGAGATGGGCAAGGTGGTGGCTGTGCTTTATTCCACTGTAAGCCCTGCCTTGAACCCTCTCATCTACACCCTGAGGAACAAGAATGTTAAGGCGGCCCTCAAGAAAGTCTTGATGCTCATGGTGGAAAAACTGTAAATTGGCAGTCTCTAAAGTTTGTGTTCTTTGTTGCTCCCTGACCACTGACCCTTATGAGATGTGTCCCACCTGTTATAAATATCCTCTTTCCATGGGGGCTGCCACTGACATTCTCAATACAGCTTTGTTGAGAAAACATTCCTCCACTGATTCCCTGTAGAATCTCAATGGGATTTGGCTTCAGCCCACTTTTACTAAACGTGCGGTGTTCCTGGAATATTACACATGGTAACATACAACAGATCATTGACTGACCTCTCAGATCCCTTGGACTGTACCCCAGCCCAGAGTCTCCATCTACTTCATGTTGACCTTCTTGCAGTGGGAGCCAGTGCAATTCCATCAAAAGTGTCCCTCTAAAGCTACCCAAATTTCTGCATAGACCAAATGGATCTTGGCCCCAAATCGCAGAGAAAGTCTCTCCTGTGATGGTTAAGTTTATGTGTCAACTTAACAGGGCTGAAGGATGCCCAGATATCTGGCAAAACATTATTTCTGGGTGTGTCTGTGAGGGTGTTTCCAGAAGAGATTAGCAATGCAATGGGTGAATGAACTGGGTAAAGAAGTCCAAATTCTCCAATGTAGGTGGGCATCATCTAATCCATTGAGTGTAAAGAAGACTAACCTTACCAATGGGGGTGGGCATCACTTAATCTATTCAGAGCCTGACTAGAATAAAAAGGTGGAGGAAGGGCAAATTTACTCTCTTTGGCTTTCAGACTCAGACTAATACTTACCCCATCATCCCCAGATCTCAGGCATTTGGGCTTAGACTGAATTAGACCATCAGCTCTCCTGGTTTTCCAGTTTGCAGATGGCAGATCATGGGACTTTTCAGCCTCCATAACTGCATAAGCCAATTCCGATAATCAATCTCCATACATATGTGTATATATGCATATTATATTGTGTAATATTATACATATATGTATATACATATATTTAATGACATATATTATGCATATGTGTATACATTTGTGCATTATATTAAGTATATAATATATATATATTAACTGTCACAAGACCATATGTGTGTGTGTCTCCTATTGGTTCTGTTTCTCTGGAGAACCCTAACGCATCTCCCTTCTCATCCAATGACTGCCTTGGAATTTCCTGATCCAGGGGTATGATAGGATCTTTATGACCCAAGACAAGACCCCCCCCACATTCGAGTCTTGTGTACACATTGCTCCTCCTGCATTGAACCCTCTCTGCCTGGTTAACTAGCACTCATTTTACATCTCAGCTGCATGTTATATCCTAAGTAATTCTTCCTTCACCAGACTGAATTGAATCCCTCTGTTATCTGCTCTCCTAGTGACTTCTGTTTCCCTCAGAGCTAATCACACAGTTGATTATTTGAGCAACATCTACCATACTGGGATTCATGATGGGAGGGTCTGTAGGTTTTGCTTATCATTGTATCCTCAGTAACAGAACAGGACATGGAACATAATAGGTGATGAATAAATGAAAAATAATGCACAGTACCAAACCACTTTGCATATCTGTTCAAGATGAAGATACACATACTCTGCTACTCAACAATTTCATTGCTAGGTGTTCTTGCATATGTACACAAGGACATGAGTTCATAATTGTTTGTTGTAAAAATTGACTCCAAATGGATTAAAGACTTGAATGTAAGACCTGAAACTGTGAAACTTCTAGAAGAAAACATAGGCAGTACGCTCTTCGACATCGGTCTTAGCAACATCTTTTCAAACACCATGTCTGACCGGGCAAGAGAAACAATAGAAAAAATAAACAAATGGGACTACATCAAACTAAAAATCTTCTGCACAGCAAAGGAAACCATCAACAAAATGAAAAGACAACCTAACAATTGGGAGAAGATATTTGCAAACCATACATCTGATAAGGGCTTAATCTCCAAAATATATAAAGAACTCATGCATCTCAACAACAAAAAAACTACCAACCCAATTAAAAAATGGGCAAAAGACCTGAACAGACATTTCTCCAAAGAAGATATACAGATGGCCAACAGACACATGAAAAGATGTTCAAAATCACTAACTATCAGGGAAATGCAAATCAAAACTACAATGAGATATCACCTCATGCCCGTCAGAATGGCTATAATTAACAAGACAGGAAACAACATGTGTTGGAGAGGATGTGGAGAGAAGGGAACTCTCATACACCGCTGGTGGGAGTGCAAACTGGTGCAGCCACTATGGAAAACTGTATGGAGATTCCTCAAAAAATCAAGGATAGAACTACCATATGATCCAGCTATTCCACTGCTGGGTATTTATCCAAAGGACTTGAAAACACCAATTTGTAAAGGTACATGCACCCCTGTGTTCATTGCAGCATTATTCACAATAGCCAACACTTGGAAGCAACCTAAGTGCCCATCAAGGGACGAATGTATAAAGAAGCTGTGGTATATATACACAATGGAATACTACTCAGCCATAAGAAACAATGAAATCCAGCCATTTGTGACAACATGGATGGACATTGAGGGTATAATGCAAAGTGAAATAAGTCAGAGGGAGAAGGTCAAATACCGTATGATTTCCTTCATTAAGTAGTAGATAATGACAACAATAAACAAACACATAGGGACAGAGATTGGATTGGTGGTTGCCGGGGGGGAGGGGGGGAGGGAGGGGGGTGAAGGGGATGGTTCGGTACATGTGTGTGGTGATGGGTTGTAGTTGGTGTTTTGGTGGTGAACATGATGTAATCTGTGCAGAAGTGGAGGTGTAGTGATGTACACCTGAAATTTTTACAATGTTGTAAACCAATGTTACTGCAATAAACAAAAAATTTAAAAAAAAAAGAAATAGGGAAGAAAAAATACACATTTAATGCTTGTAGCTAAACATATCCATGCAAATATTTAAATATAGAGTTATTGGGGAGTATGAAGGGTCTTACATGTTTTTGAAAGAAAGGAGAGAAATAATTACTTGATAGATGTAAAATAAAGGATTGTTGCAAGAACAGAAAATATTACAAGAGAAGGCATAATATGGGAAAACCACAGAAAAATTGGCTTAGATGAAATTAAAAATGTTTGCATTAGTAAAATTTAAAAATTTTCATCACATTCTTGATATATAATAATATTTTTTAAAATTACGGATCTAGAATCAGAATATCTAGATCAAAAGCAATAAGTGTAATCCAATTCAATTCTACAATAAACAGGTTAAAGATTGGACCTACATGTACTAATGGAATAAATATTGGAAGCCTTTTAAAAAAAAAAAAGAATTGTTTATTGCATCTCTTTGTGTAGTAGAAAAAGTGGAAACCACCTAACTGCCCATCAGTAAGAAAATGAATAAGTAAGCCATGGATTCATCACACATGGATTATCATGCTGGATTTTCACATCTATGTGGACCTACAGCAAAAACATAATGTCATGGAAGAAAAGCAAGTTGAAAATGGATGTGCATAGGTGGTGAGCATTGTCATATTTATACAAACACTGAAATAATATGTCATATGGTTTATTGTAATAAATGTAATGGAAATGGTGCACACAGTCTTCAGAGCAGTGGTTTCTCTAGGGATGCAGAGAGGGAAAAGAAATCAAAGGTGTAAATGAGTTGTATCTGTGTTGTTTTATTTCTTACACAGAGACAGACAGCAAACATGGCAAGAAGTCAGTACCTAGTTACATGCATATGTTTGAAACTTCACATGATTGAAAACTAAAAATAAACAAGGAATCACCTGGAATGCTCATCAACACTGAATAAATCAGAGTCTGCATTTTAACAGGCTCCTGGGTGAGTCTTATGTAAACTGAAGCATGAGAGCCCCAATCCAGGGAAAAAGCAAGACTTTCCTCCTCCTCCACTACACACCCCATCAGGGGTCTGATGCGAGTTCTCCCTCAACTCAGAGAAACCTATAGGCTCCCTCAAATAAATTCCTCTGTTTAGCAGATGGTTTTGGATTTTCACTCATCAGAATAGAATGCACATATCCTGTTTGTTTAAAGAAAAGTCAGTGTCATGATCTGAGTTTTTAGAGGTACCTTTTTAGTAAGTGTGGGTAGCTCAGCTGGCTAGGGAACCAGACCACATTGTGTTCCCCCAGATCACCCCATTTGCTCTCAATGGTCTGTAGGCAGAGCACATTTCTCACACCCGTGGGTCACCTCACCACTATATGGTTTAGCCACGGGCAGTTCCCAGTGGCTCCACGAAAGTTAGTCCTCACTACCGTGGGAGTGACACCACATAGCATGTGTGTCCCCATGCCACTGGATCCGAATGCATCGTTGGCAGTATGGTTAATCTGTGGGAAGGTTGTAGAGAACCACAGGCTGCTTTGGATGTAACACAATCCTTGAAAGCTGAAAGTAATATTGCTGGGAAAAGATTTCTTCTGAACTCTATCAAAATATTAATCACAGGAATGTTTCCAACCATCCATCCCGCATCTGAGTTTCCATCATTCTTACCTTGCCTGACTCCAAAAGAGACTTGAATAGGCTAAAGTAGGTTATGTGGCATTAGTAGTTTGTGAGTTGGCAGCAGTGAGATGGTTTCAGTAAATTGGTTCCCCTGGGCCACTTAAATTCATCTCCCAATTTTGCAGGTACTTTGTAATATTTCCAAATCATAGCTGATTTTCCACACAAACGTATGAAGATATCTAATGGAATGTATCATCTGAATGGTTTAGGACAGGGAAGTAAATGATGTGATTACAATTAGCCCTCAATTATTTTTTTCCAATTCTTCCTTTATATAAGAAGGTGTATGTATTTGTTATCATTGCAAAATTTTACATAAGGAGAGGAGAAACAACTCAACCAGATCCTTCTTCCTCCCTGGATCCACCCTCCTCCCCTCACACACACACCTCATTTCTATCCCCAGATTAATCCCTGTTGTTTCTTTTGCATTATTCCAAAAAATTTTTGTTATGCATTCTTAAATAAATGTTGGATATCTGCTTGTAGCAACATTTATATATTGTGACAATTTTTTATTTGTAATATAGTTTTCTTTACCTAGGTATTTATTGATGGAGATTTAGATTATTTCATTTTTCTGTTATAAAAATGCTACACTGAATATTCTTATAAATATTTGAGCCTTCTGAGTATTTATGCAGAAAACAGTGTGGGAAGTGGGCTTGATGATGAAAAGATATTTATAAAAACTACCAAGTCCCTCCTTAAAAACAAAATGCAAACAACATAGAAATGTATTAATGTTCCCATAGCTTCATCAAAATTTCCAATCTAAACGTGAAATTTTTATGTCATTGTTGTTGTAATTTACATTTCCATGAATGTTAGTGGTGTTGGCACTCTTTTTAGGAATTCACTCGTCATTTCTCTTCTATGATATATGTTTTTCCATCTTTATGATTTACAGAGGCCTTACATATTCAGGGGAGAACGTGAAAGGCTATATGTTAGATATGAAGCAGAGTTAGCTGTAAAACAAAGGCTGCTCTAGACAACTCCAAAATTACTTAAAATAATCTTAAAAGTAACAAACAAATCAGCAAGTCCACCGAGTTCCTGCCGGAAAAAACCTAACACACTTAAAGAAATAATAGAAAAGCAAGCAGTGGGCAACATAAAATCATGATAAAATCAAAATGGATGTCCAGCATCCATTCAAGAATTACTAGACAAGTGAAAGAGCAGAAAAAAGTGTAACATAGCCAGGAGAAAACCAGTCAACAGACTCAGAAATGATACAGGTGATGGAATTAGTGAATAACGCCATTAAAAAAGCTGTTGTAAATATGTTCCATATGCTAAATAAAAATATAAACATAATTGAAGAGAAAAATTAAAGATTTAATAAAAAACCAAATAGATGTTCTAGAGATGAAAAACACTGTATCTGAAATGGAAAGTTCACTGATGGGAGTAACAATAGACTGGAAGCCGTGGAAGAAAAGGTCAGTGAATTTGAAGACTCAGCAATAGAATCCATCTAAAATTAGACTAAAGTATTAGACTGAAAAGTGAACATCTAGGGTGAACTCTGAGAGAATATTAAGCAATCTAAGATATATGTAATGGGATTCTCACAAAGGGAGGAGTTAGAAACAAAAAAATTTTGATTAAAAAATTCATAAATTTTCTAGATGCAAAAGTCTTAATAACTCCAAGCACCATAAACACACATAAAAACAACATCAAGATTCATCATAATCACATTTTTGACAATGAACCTTAAGAGAAATTGAAGGAGGGTGAAAATACATATAAGAAACTAAGATAAAAATTACAGCATATTTCTTGACAGAACTTATGTAAGCCAGAAGACAATGAAACAATAACTTTAAAATGCTGAAAGAAAAAAATGTCAACCTAGAATTCTATATCCAGCTGTACTGTGGTCACATTAGGAAATATACACAGAAGTATCTGGGGGTAAGTAAACAGCTATAGCATATATAAGAAACCCTTAAATTATTCAGAAGAAAATGAATTGTGTGTGTGAGTGTTTTCTATCAAATATTTAAGGAACCAATAACACAAATTCTACAAAAGATTTTCCAGGAAAAAGAAAAGACTGGTACGTTCCTGACATTTGAAAAGGCTAGCATTACCCTGATGCCCAAAAGAGACAACGAAGACAATATAAAGAAAGAAAATGACATATCAAAACCCTCCACAAAATATTAGCAAATTGAATCCAATAATATATGAAGGATAAACATCATGTCAGTTGAAGCTTAGCCTAGGAATGCAAGGCTGGCTCAATGTTTCAAAATCAATCAATATAGTTCACACTATCAACACACTAAAAAAAGCGTATTATCTGATGAGATGTAGGAAAAAACATTTTAAAAAATTTAACATGCATCAACAATAAATATTCTAGGCAAAACAGGAATTTAGAAAAACTGCCTCAAACTGATAACGGGGTATCCACAAAAAAGGTATAGCTCACACTGTATTTAGGGGTGAAAGACTGAATGCTTTCCCTCTCAGATCATAAACGAGACAAAGATATTCACTCTCATCACTCCTACTCAACATCTAATTGGAAATACTAGCCAATGTGATAAGACAAAGAAAGTTATTGTCACAGGCACAGAGATATGTGAGGAAGAAATAAACTATTTCACTCCACACAAACGTGATCATCTATGTAGAAAAAAAACAAAGAATCTACAAAAAGCCACTACATTTATTAACCAGTTTAACAAGGTCACAGAATACAAGTTCACAATACAAAAATCAATTGCATTTCTATATAAAAGCTATGAAACCATTAGAAATTAAAAATTTTAAGGAACCATTTGCAATAGCACCAAAAAGCAGGAAATACTTATATATAAGTATAACAAAATATGGGCAAAATTTGTATGCTGAAAACAAAAAGTTTGACAAGAGAAATCAAAGACAACCTATAAAAAAGAAGAGATAAGGGCCAGCTCTGTGGTGTAGCAGTTAAGTGCACGTGCTCCTCTGTGGCGGCCTGGGGTTCACAGGTTTGGATCCTGGGCATGCACAGATGCACCACCTGTCAAGCCATGCTGTGGCAGCATCCCATATAAAGTAGAGGAAGGTGGGGCACGGATGTTAGCCCAGGGCCAATCTTCCTCAGCAAAAAGAAGAGGATTGCCATCAGATGTTAGCTCAGGGCTAATCTTCCTCACCAAAAAAAAAAAAAGAAGAGACATACCAGGTTAATGGACTGGAAAACTTGACAGGTAGAAAATATTTGCAAAATATATTTCTGATAAGGACTTGTGTCCAGAATATACAAAGAACACTTAAAATTCAACAATAAAAATAACAAACACCCAATTTTTAAAATAGCAAAAGACACTAAACCAAAGATGAAATTCAGATGGCAAATAAGCGCATAAATGGAATGGCAACATCATTAGTCATTAGGAAATTGCAAATTAAAACTATTAGCATGTCTAAAATCTAAAAGACTAACAATAGCGAGTATTTAGTGAGGATGCAGAGGAAGTAAAATTCTCATGCACTGCTGATCAGAGTATAAAATGGTAGAAACGCTGTCCACCAACAGACACATTCATCAACAAATTGTGATACAGCCAAACAATGTAATGCTTCTGTCGTTAAGAAGTGCTGACACATGCTAAAATATAGACGGATCTCAAAACAATTATGCTCAGCAAAACAGCCAAACCAAAAAAGAGTATATACATTTTTATAAAATTATATAAAAGCAAACTAATCTCTAGTGATAGAAAGCATATCAGTGGTTACATGGAGTGGGGAGGGGATTCGGGGAGGAGGTTCAGGGATGGATGGGAAGAAGATCTACAAAGAGCAATGAGGAAACTTTGGGGTGATAGAGATGTACACTGCATGGGCTATGGTTTCATAGAGACATATTTACATCAAAACTTATCAAATTTGACACTTTAAATGTGTGCAATTTATATTATGTCAATTATGCCTCAATACCACTGCTTCAAAAAGAGATCTTGGACCTCAAACTAGGACTAAAGTTCTAAATTTATAAAACTTCTGGAAGTAAAGTTAGGAGAAAATCTTCACAACCTTGAGGTAGGCATAGATTTCTTTTTTTTTTTTTTTTGTGAGGAAGATCAGCGCTGAGCTAACATCCACACCAATCCTCCTCTTTTTTGCTGAGGAAGACTGGCCCTGGGCTAACATCTGTGCCCATCTTCCTCCACTTTATATGGGACGCCACCACAGCATGGCCTGACAAGCGGTGCATCAGTGCGTGCCCGGGATCCGAACCCGGGCCGCCAGCAGTGAAGTGCGCACACTTAACCGCTAGGCCGTGGGGCCAGCCCCAGCATAGATTTCTTAAGGCACAAAAAGCACTAATTATAAGGGAAAAAAATAAAAGACAAATTAGACTTCATCCAATACAAAAATTTCTGCTCCTCAGAAGAAGCTTTTAAGAAATCAAAAAGGCAAGGCATAAATTTGGAGAAGCAAGTTGTATATCTACAAATGTATCATATTTTCTCTCAATCTGTATTTGACAAAGGACTTCTTTCCTGAATCCATACAGGTCTTCTACATCTCAATAATATGGCAAATGGCCCTCATGGAAAAATATTATTTGAACAGACACTTCATAGAAAAAAATATACACTTAGTCAATAAACGCAAGGAAAGTGCCCCTCATTCATCAGAGAAAGGCAAAGGATTCTAGAATGGGACCATCAGTTAGGAAAACAGTCTCACAGCTCACCACCTTAACGACCCAGCTGTGCCATTTCTAAGTGTTCATCCAAGTGAAATAAAAACATATATCAATGCCAATAAAAAGACTGTCTAAAAACATTCATAGCAACTTTATTCATGCAGGTTTAAAACTGGAAGCAGGCCAAATGTGTGCCAATAGGTAAACGGATTTTTTGAAAATCATGGTATGTCCATACAATGAAATACTACTTTCAAGAAAAATGAACACACTACTACTACTTACAGAAACATGGATTAATCTCAAAGACGTTGTTTTATTCAAAAAAAAAAAGCTGTACACAAAAGAGCGTATACTGCATGATTCCATTTATATGAAATTCCAGGAGAGGCCAAACTGCTAGAAGAGTTTAGAAATAAATACAGCAGTGCTGGGGCAGGAAGTAGGGGGCTGGGGGCAAAACTGAGAGCCAAGGACACAGGAAAACACTCTGGATCGACAGAGCTTCCCTCTCGGGATCGAGGTGGTGGTTACACTGTGGATAGAACAATCACAATTATAACCTGTGAACTTTAATGTTAATTATATCTCAATAAAGTTGATTTAAAAATCCTCACTAAACAGAAAAGAGCACTGAATAATATGCAAATTTTGTCAAAACACATGCATATGGATAACAATTATGGAATTTGCAGTAAAATCCAGCAAGGACAAACTCTGCAAATTTTGTCTACAGAGTTTCAAAACTAGAAGGTAAAATGGAAGTTCTAAAGGAACATTTTAAAGGAAATTTAAGTGATTTATTGAATTGCTTAAATGTAGGCAAATAATAAGATACATAAAAGGGTACCAAAACTCTCTAGGGATATATCCATATTACCGTGTATGAGTGTCACGTGATGTGTTGTTGGTAGAATGCAAAAACCAAGACCAAAGAGCCTCAGCTGACCTGGTCTGAAAGTAGGAAACCTTCCACTCAGGGACATGGAAGTTGTAACAGTGATGCACTGAGGGCGAATGGGGGGGAGGGGAGGGGAGGGTCTCCAGGGAAGGGCTGGGCTTGCCCCAGCTAGCGAGGCTCTGCTCGCCCGAGTCTCTCCTCAACACCTAATTGGTAGGAAGCTTTGGTCATGAACCCTCAAGCCACACTTGATGGTGTGGCTTTCTGAGAGCTTTCTCCTCCAGTTTGCCTCCCCAGGGTCCCTGGGACAAACACCCACCCCTGTCTTGGAAACGCAGAGGTTCACTTGAAGGCCAGTTGAACCTCAGCCAAGAGATCCAGTCAGGAGGACATTGGAGACTCACTTCATGCAGGACAGACAGCGTCAGTGGTCACCACAGTGCTTACTTTGGCTGGAGCCGCCTTCCAGAGCATCCACTGAGGCCGCTGTGAGTGGACAGAGGTGAGAGAAGCATGGCTGTTCCACCCTCTGAATTGCTGGGAGAGCAGTTATTTCAGCCCATGGAATGCCACGTGGAGCTATGGCCCATATTCCAGGTGAACGAACACTTCTTGGAAGGGATTGAGCAAAGATAAGGATATGGTAGAAAAGTTTTGGTTTTATGTTCCATTATGTAAAAAGTATAGTATCAAACTTTTTTTCACATGAGTTTATTCATATCTGTTATTTTTACTCTTTATTCAGAACCTAGTTTTCTCACTCACCCACCTTACCAACAATATTACTTTGAAATGAAACAAATTAAACTTTGAAGAATCTAAGATCCAAATCCATGACTAGACAAGACTTGGGGGTCCTCTCACTCAGCCACTGCCTCCAGAGAGAATCCTGAGAAACATCACAGGCAGCAGCCCGTAACCCTCATCAACAGACCTGCACTTGGGAGCAGAAAGTGACTGACAGCTCCCAGTTCAAGGAAAATGTTGACCGTCGTATCCATGCTGGCCAGGCCCCGTCTTAGCCGAGTCGGCACCTGGATGACAGGAAGTCACCTAAATAAAGTGTCATTGCCATGTGACCCTAAAGTCAGTCAGAACAGAAGTTGAGAGAAAAAGTACAGAGGGGCAGGGACGTGTGGTAAGAGGCTGTGGGTGTAGGTGGTGCCTCCAAAAACACGCTCAGCATGCACTGAGTTCCCACCTTGGGGCCCGTGGGCTGAGGGAGGCATCTCAGTCTGTGGCACCGTGTGGGCAGCCCACGCTCTGGCCGGGTCTCAGCTCTCACAGGTGTGGGAGTCAGCCCTGCTGAGGTCACTTTCCTCCTCGCTGCCTGGGAGCTGTTGGGAGGCTGCTCCAAGCCCTCGTGAAAACCCTGCCTCATTTCTAGACCTCCAGCGTCCTGTCACACACGGGGCAGCCTCAGCAGCTCTACTCCTTGACCTTCTCTAACAAACATTTTAGAGCCCAAGATCTGCTCCCGAAGAACAGCCTGGACCAGTGGCAAGGGCCTCGGTGTGGATCCAGCCAACACTTTTCCCGGCCGTTTGTGTGGTTGGGGTAGGGGCACATGATTTATTCCCTCTGGATGTTGGTTCCCATGACTGAAACAGAGGAATAAAAATACTTACCAGTTGAGCCAGCAGGGAAGAGAGGCTTCAAAATAGTCTTTGCTCAGGCCAACGGACAGGAATCTGACCAATTATTGATTTATTGTTTTTTAAAAAGGGCCATTCAGATCTTATCAGTAATGTGTGTAAAATGTCATACAGAAACTTTGTGGATTTTGAAAGGTGGATCAGCCAAGGCAAGGCAACCTCAGGAGGCCAGGTCCAGGCAATGGTGTGGCCAGTGCCCATCAGGGTGAGGCTCCCAATTTGTCCTTCCACCTGTGATGGAGCTTCCACAAGAAGCCTGGAAAAACGGAGGCACCCTCCTTACTGCACTGCAGGGGAGTCCTCTTGTCCCTATACCAGCATGTCAACTATCATCTCTTGGCTAAGGTAATAAAGGCAAGGTACTATATTTTCCTCTGTAATTACTAAATACTCTGTAGAGGATACGAGGAGACTATGTAAAAGTCCGCACAGTTTTAGCAATGTTTGATGATGTGCAATTCCTTTTGCCTACTACACCCATTAGCTGTGTCTACTTGAGGGACAAGCTTTCTCTTCTTTCCAATTAATCAATCAATGTAAATACGGACTCATGGAATCTTACTCAGTGGAGTTTAGTTCTTTACTGTCATTATTTATTTTGATTCTCAAACTGGTTCGGATTTCACCAGCTGGCTCTGTCTCCTGTTGACATATAGTCATTGTTCTTTGGGCAATTTATTACTTTATGGCACAAAAAAGATATTCTGAGCTCATCTTGTACTTTCCTTGCCCCAGTCCTGGAGTCAGCCCTGGTTCCTTCTCCTGGAGACGGATATTTAGGGACAAAGTTTGGAGGCTCACTGCTACTGCCTGTCCTCACTTCTAAGTTTTCTCAGTGGACAGAAGTAGAAAAGGTATGTTTGTGAGTGTGGATGTCGTATGTAGACACACACCCACACTTATTCCTGTATCCATCTCTCCATTAAAACCTGAATTCACTTGAGAGTGGTGATGGCTTCACAGGTAGACACATCAGTGAAAAGTTACCAAATTATACCTCAACAGAGCTGTTTCAAACACCAGAGTTGGTTCTGCTGTCTCCAATTCCATTACAACACCGGGAGGTCATTCCAGGGTTCCCCTGTCCAGATGGCGACCCCCTTCCCAGCAGTGGCTCCCACTACTCTCCATAGTTACCCATGTGCTCAACCTGGGACCCATGGAAAGTGGTTTCAGAATGGATAACCCAGCCATTGTGAAAAGCAAACTTAATAACTAGATTTTAGTCTTTCTTTGCAGTTTTTAAGGAAATTACATAGAAAGAAATGCGTGCATCTTATGAGAACTGTTGGGCGTGTTTTGACAAATGTGTACACCTAAGTAGCTCACCTCTACCACATTTTCGTGACCCCAGAAGTTTCCTCCTGCTCCTTCTCGGTCGGTCCCCACCGGTGCATGTCCTCAGAGGCAATCGCAGATTTCCTTTTTTCTATCATAGATCCAGTTTGCCTTTCCAGAACTTCATACAAACGGAGGCACGCATTACATTCTCTTTGAGACTGGCTTATTTTGCATACCCTTATGTTTTGAGATTCATCGATGTTGTTGTGTGTTTAGTTCAACCCCTTCTGTGGCAATGTTCAATTTTATGAATACCCCTCAATTTGTTAATCCATTTTCTGTTGATGGATATTTGGATAGTTTCCAGATTTGGGCTATTATGAGTAAAGCTGCAATTAATATTCTCAATCAAAACTTCTCAAGGACATGTCTTTTCATTTTCCTTTGGTGGATACCTGGGAGCAGTTACTGAGGCATAGGGTAGGTGTACGTCAGTGTCTAGAAACTGTTTTCCAAAGTGATGTATAATTTTATCTCACTGCTAACAATATGAATTTTGATGGTTCCATATGCTGACCAACCTTCCTGCATTCTGTGGGTTTTTTTAAATGTTTATCTCATTATGATTTTAATCTGTATTTCCCTGATAGCTTACATTGTTGAGAACATTTTTATGTGCCGTTGGCCATCTGTATGTCTTGTCTTGTGAGGGATCTGTTTAGTCTTTCACCAGCTATGTCTTGAGCTTTTTGACTTTTTTTTCATGTATAGGAGATTTTTATATAGTCTGTGTCTAAGTTCTTTGTCAGCTCTATGTTTCCTCCCCATTGTGGCTTGCCTCTTCATTTTGTAATAGTGTGATTTTTTGGATGAGCAGAAGTTTTTGATTTTGATTTATCAATGAATTGTTTATTATTAGTGCTTTTGTGTTCTGTGTAAGAAATTTTGGCTAGTCCCAGGTGGCAAAATATTATCTTAGGCTAACTTATAGAAATTTTAAATTTTTACCTTTTTCTTTTAGGCCTATTATTAATCCTGATGACAAGGTTTTTCAAGGTAGAAAATAAAAGGAAAAGTAAGTGAAGGCTATGTGGCTTTCAGAAGAGTGTTGGGGTGGAGGTTAAGGAATAAACGGACTCCTGTGAAGAAGTAGAGGTCACTCCCTCCCTTTCTGGGACCAGGCTAAGTTCTAGGACGGTCACCCACAGGAAGGAGTCTAATTTGAGTGTCCTATGATCTCTTCCAGAGAACTGAAAACATATGGAGTGGCATGTGGGGACCCCTCCCAGCTGGGGGGCGAGGTCCAACCAGACGCTGGTGACGGCGTTCGTGCTGCAGGGCTTCTCTGAGCACCCTGGGCTGCGGATGCCCCTTTTTGGCTGCATCCTCTCCCTCTATGCCATTGCATTCATGGGAAACGCTGTGATCATTGCTGTGGTCAGCTGCAGCACTAGCCTCCACAGCCCCATGTACTTTTTCCTGAGCCACCTGGCCACCATGGACGTCGTCTGCACCTCATCTGTGCTGCCCAAGGCGCTGGCGGGCCTGGCCTCTGACAAAAACACCATCTCTTTCTCAGGGTGCATGGCCCAGCTCTTCTTCCTCATCTGGTCTGGGTCTTCTGAGCTGCTGCTGCTCACGGTCATGGCCTATGACCGCTACGTGGCCATCTGCCACCCACTGCACTACAGCTCCAGGATGAGCCTGCTGCTGTGCAGGGCGCTGGCCGTGGGCGTGTGGGCTGTGTGCGCCATCAATGCTTCGGTGCACACTGGCCTGATGGTGCAGCTGTCTTTCTGCGGCCCCAACGTCATCACACACTTCTTCTGCGAGATCCCCCCGCTCCTGCTGCTCTCCTGCAGCTCCACACTCGTGAACCGCATCATGACTCTCCTGGCTGATGCCTTCTTTGCAGTCATGACCTTCCTGCTCACCCTGGCATCCTACGGCTGCATCATCACCAGCATCCTGCGCATCCGCTCAGTGGAGGGCAAGCAGCGGGCCTTCTCCACCTGCTCCTCCCACCTGATGGTGGTCTCTCTGTACTACTCGGCTGTGTTGTATGCCTACATCAGCCCAGCCTCCAGCTATGGCCCTGAGAGAAACAAAGTGTCTGGAGTGCTGTACATGGCACTGAGCCCCACTCTGAACCCCATCATCTACTCTCTGAGGAACAGGGAGGTCAAGCACGCCCTGAGGACGCTCACCTCACTTCTCAGATGTTAATGGCGATGTGCAAGTCCTCTTCCAGCCTGGGCTCCCTACGCCTGCCCCCTGAAACCAGCCTTGGAGAGTGAGACCTGGCTTCCACACTTTCTGTGCTTCTACCCTCGGGTGTGGGTGCCGGCCTCAGCTGCAGAGCCATGGCCCAGGTCCTGGTAGGTGCTCTTCCTGCATCCCAGTAAACGTGTCGTCAGCTGGGTGACCCCCATGAATCTGACCTTAGAACAGCCCCAAGGCCTTTCTCAACCCAGCTCTTCTTTAGCTGTCATGACCTTCCACACTCCCCTTGCTCCAGCTGAGATGGCCACCAGCTGTATCTGCCTCTCCCTGTCCCCACAGCCACACTCACCTGCTATGGTCTGTGTCCAGAGCCTCCTCCCTCAGTACATAGTCAACCCCGTTCTTCAAGCCTGCTCACATGCCACCACCGTCAAAGGCTTCCTTCATCTTCTAGCCAAAAATAGCCCCTCACTCCGCCTCCTAGGCTGGTCACCTGGACCTCACACAGTGTGTTCTCCCTTCTACCTGGACCTCACATGGCCTGTCCCCTGTTCCACCTGGACCTCACACGGCCTGTCCCCTGTCCTACCTGGACCTCACACGGCCTGTCCCCTGTCCTACCTGGACCTCACACGGCCTGTTCCCTGTTCCACCTGGACCTCACACAGCCTGTCCCTTGTCCTACCTGGACCTCACATGGCCTGTCTCTGTCCTACATGGACCTCACACGGCCTGTCACCCATTCTACCTGGACCTCACATGGCCTGTCCCCTGTCCTACCTGGACCTCACACG